AGGGGGCCTCCCACAACTGAGATCTTCCCAAGAAAGCAGGCGTGTCTCCCTAAAGGTTCACACTCAAAGGTTGGAGACGATCTGACACCTCTCAGCTGACGCCAGGGAGAGTATTGCTCCGATGCAGCTGTGCCCTCGGATGAGTGTGGCAGTGTAGGGCAGCGTGTTCAGTAGGCCAGTAGGCTTAGGGTTGAAGGGCTGTAGGGTTTGGGGCTTAGGGTTGAGGGTTGAAGGGGGTTTGGGGTTGAACCGGTGCACCTTCAGAGCGTAAGCTGTCAGACGTAGTAGTCAACCCCAGAACTCTGTGGGCTCAAGGTTACTACAAACCGAGCCCCGTCTTGAGCGTTGTCTTTATGCGCAGCATTATGGTGCTTGGCTTTGGAATGTTTAGAGATCTCGGAACGTCGTGGTCTCAATAGTCCAGGGTTACATGTGTCGAATGCATAGGGGTTTCGGGATCGGAGCTCAAAAGTTGGGCGCAGAACCTGCCCGGCGAGTGAGCGTAGCTGTTCCCGTCCCAGCCAAGCAGATGCGAGCGCCGCAAGCGAGTGCCCACAGATGAGCATGTGTCCCTATCTTACCCCTGCCACTTTCCCCAAAACCATACCGCATCAGGTCACCGAAGAATGACCCTAAGCCCGGAGCATCCCAAAACTCTACTCTGGACTCTCGTTCCTGCTTGGCTCTTGGGCGCCTACCTCTCGCCATGGGGGTCCAGCAGGTCTGGCTAAGCTTACGGCGGTATGCTTAGATTGATCTCCGCGCCGACGCCTAGGCCACGTAAACCCTTAACGCCCAACTTTACTTGTCCAAGAATGAGGGCATTCGGTGCCCCTTAAAGGAACACCCGGTTCCTAACTCCCTAATCTGACTGAGAGCCGGTATGTAAACTCCAGAACCCGGCAGCATGGCACCGCCGAAATCTTCAGATTCAAGCCTCAAGACCAAAAATCTTCATCTTTGCTGGTCTGAGTAGGGAGCCAGGGTAAAAACATGGCGCCGACGTCCCCAGGGTATTTTGACTTCTGCACCAGATTCCCAGTAGCTTGGGCTCCCATGCGCTCTGCCGGAGTGTCAGCACACGGCTGGTTCGCGGGCGCCCGTGGGAGAAAAGGGATGGAGTAGCACTTCGCCTTGAGATCTTCCCCCATTTTGGCATACTTAACCTTCTCAGCCACCCAGAAAGGCCCAGCTCCTGGGGCTTGGATCCTTGATTGAACCCTCGGAACCTTTGGGTTCTGGGGCTTTAGGTGAGGGTTGGGGTTTTAGGGCCTTTTTTAACCACCAGCATGGGCTCAGCTGTACTCCGGGCTTCGTGACCTGAGCCCTAAACACGCCCAGCCAGCCCACGGAGCTCAGAAGCTCAACTACCCCGATCCGCCGACGCCCTCGCTTGCCTCAAGTGACACCCATGGTCAGTTCCAAGGTGTAGGGTTCCGGCCCTAAAGACCGAAGAACCTAAAGCTACCTAGGGCCCTACAGTATGAGCCCTCAAAGAGAGGTGGACGTGAGCCCCCTTTGAAGCCTGGGGGGGGGGGGGGGGAATGCCTATCGTCTGTTTACAGCATCTGAGCTGAAGTGCCTGACAAAATCCGCAAAACCCCTTGAAGCCCACCCTAAACCCTGAACCCTGAACCCTAAACCCTACAAACTCTAAACCCCAAAAGTTGCGGCAGCCCGAGGGTAGATCGGGAGTCTCCCCCCCCTGCTCCATGATGCGGGCCTGTCCAGATGCAACGAGTACCGAGGCCTTGAGGAAGGGAAAGAGGCTTCGCTTTCGGACGTCGGTTGCTTTAGTGTTTGGGGGTGTAGGGTTTAGGGTTTAGGGTTGAGGTTTGTTCTACCTTGCCCCCTCGGAGGCATTTTGTAGAGGTTTCGGTTCTAGGAACTTTGGCACCCCACTCCCCAAACCTTGTTTCAACCTGAGCCCTGAACCCAGTGAATCATCCAACATGCTCGGCAGCCGCATTGGCATCCTCAATTCAACACATAGTTCGTGCCAAGGATCCGAAACCCTATGGGCGAGCCCCCTGGACACTAAGGACGCTAACTTGGAGCCACCCCGTGAACCTAAACCTTTCAACCTCAAAACAGTGCGAAGCTACACCTGAAGAACCCGAATCTGACATTTTGGCAGATTTCTTGCAACAAAAGCCCTTTGCAGTCCAGAAGAGCTGAAGCTGAAAGGTGGCGGAGATCCTGTGATGGGAGTGGCCGCTCGCTTGGCACCGGTGCTTCGTGTCCTGGGTTTAGGTTTGTTTGGAGTTCAGGGTGAGGATGGTGAGGGCCCGGGGTGTGAGGGTTGTTCGAGGTTTAGGTTTGTTCAGGTTGTTGCAGCATTTCGCAGCCAGCACAACCCCGTCATCACCATGGCCACCATGAGATGGGTTTGTTGCAGGGATTCTCGCCCTAATCCCCAGGCCTGAAGCCCCAGGGCCCTAGAACTATGCTGCGCAAAACTTTGGGATGGGATTCTTGTATACGACACCGTAACATTGCGAGCGCCCGCAGCAACCACCAACTGATGTTGCCCCAGAGCACTTTGAGGATATGCCTCTGCAGAAGGCCCCCCGTAAACCCTAAGCCAGAAGCCCAACCCTAAACCACCAAGCCCTCAACCCCAAGAACCCCAAACCCTGAAAACCAAACCCCAAACCCGAAACGCCAAACAGGATTTAGGGTTTGGGGTTTAGGGTTAGGGTTGAGGGTTTAGGGTTTAGGATTTAGGGTTTAGGGCTTAGGGCTGAGGGTTTAGGGTTCCCCAGAGAGGTGGAGCAGCTGAACTGCACCGCCCGGGCCTTCGTCCATCGCACGCTGGACGGGGTTCTGGACCAGCTCCGCCTCGCAGGAGAGCTTCGGGTCTTTGTTTTTTTTTTTGAGGTTTGGGGTTTAGGGTTTAGGGCTTAGGATTTAGGGTTAGGGTTTAGGGGGGTTTAAGGTTCTGGTTGTTGGGGTTGGGGTTTGGGGTTTAGGGTTCAGGTTGTTGGTTTGGGGTCGCGGAGTTGGGACAGCGACACTAATTCTCGGTCTCGGGGTCTGGGGGCTTTGAGAGCTGGAGTTCGGGGTTTTGCTCCAAACAGGGTCGAAGCCCTTAGGAGAAGACACCTGCGAAGGGACCTGATTGAGGAACGTCCTTATGTGGGTGTGAAGACCTTGCCCTGCTTTGCAGAATTGTCCACCCGAGTGGTTCGAGTCGTAGCGTGGACTAACTCATGAGGTGCTTGAGCCCGAAGCCCCCCCAAAAGCTGGTCCTTTCACCCCAGGGTTTAGGGTTCCGGGCTCCGGGTCTACATGCTTCGGCTTCGGCCACCCTCGAAGCCCTACCGTATCTTAATCTCTAGAGGGTTGAGGCTTTGGGGTTTGGGGTACCCCCTGACCCCATCCTCATAGTCTTACTGGCGCTAAAGGTGGACCCTAAACCCTCAACCCTAAACCCTGAACCCTAAACCCTAAACCCTCAACCCTAAACCCTAAACCCTCAACCCTAAACAGGGGGGGCTCGCTGGAAGGAGTTTCGGATGCGGTGCAGACCTCGGTGTCCTACCACTTCGACCAGGGCCACTCCCACGCCAGGCGGCGGCCCTCGGCGGAGCTAGGGGTTTGGGGGTTTCAGGGTTTCAGGGGTTTCGGGTTTAATTTGGGTTATTCTGGATGTTGCTTTGGAGAGTGCCCTTCTAGGTTGTTGAGAGGAGGAAAGGGTCCCCGGCACTTTGCTGAACAGCACCAAACGCGGGCAACTTGGGGGCTAAGAAAGGCGAACATCTTCTCCCTTCCCTAGATCGCACACTGGGGCACAGGGAGCACATTCTCATAAGTGGGTGCCATTTAAATTCTGTCCCTCAGAGCCCCAAACCCAAACCCACACCTTGGATTCTCCCCTGCAGAATAAGTCTTGTGGTAAAGCAAGTGGGGCGCCGATCAGGCGGGACGCGACGTTGGCGGCCCGGGCCGCGGGTGGAATGAGGTTTGTTCAGGGTTTGGGGTTTAGGGTTTTTAGGGGTTTTTAGGGTCCATAGTGTTTAGGGTTTGGGTTCCCGTGCAGTGGACCAACGTCCATCGTAGGGGGACGAGGGCCTTGAAGGGTTGAGTCTGCGCTACACGCCTTGTACTTACTTGCCGTTCCCTGGCATGCGCAGCATTGCTTGAGCCTGTTGACTGTGCGCTTGACTCCTCCTTCGGCAAAGTGTCTTGTGTGCAGTTGCTGATTGTTGAGTTTGCGTGCCCCGCCCTCTGCCACCCTACGTCACGCTGAGGGGGGCGGAAGTTACACTGCGCCCGTGTGAAAGTGGTGCTCTTTGATTGAAGCATATGCTATGCTTCATGTGGTTGGTAGTGCTGTCTGTTATCATGCACTTACCATGTTGCTTTCCCATCCACTCCAAAAAAAAGTGACCGTGTGCTGTGCAGCTTGCTTTCCTTGCATTCGGGGTGTCTCCTTCGGTTCGCTTCTAAGCTCGGTACCCTCAACTTTAGAGAGGCCTACTGGAGTGAGGGTGTAGGGCTTCAAGCCCTGTCACTAAAGCCCTCGAAGTTTACCAAACCCTAAGCTCTCAAACCCCGACACCTCGAACCCTGCTAAATTGGCTATACGTCGGAGGTTGATCAAAGCCGTGCACCCTACGCCACTACACTCCACACCCGAAACCCTAAAAACAAAAAGAAAAACCTGCTGAGTGAGTTGCCGAAGCTAGGGAAGATGCGCGCCTCCCTTAGGTGGCCGCAGCGCCTACATGCTAAACCCCAAAGCCTAGACGTCGAAGTGCCACCCTGACATCCGTGACCCTCTACGAGTCCTGGACCTTCACCTCCTTGAGCCCCGCGCTCACCCTGAACCCTAAACCTGCAGCCTCAACGCCCACCCTGAACCCTAAACACCGAACCCCAGCCGCGATGTTGCCATTTTGGCTCAAGCGGTGTCACGCAAGCGCAGTTCGCACCCGAGCTGCAGGTACGGCCCGAGGTGTAGCTGCTTTCCAATTTCAACGTGGGAGTTCGCGAGCATGTTCCTTCTCAGCGACAAGCTAGAGGACGACGCGCTCGTCACCTGGCGAGCCTTGTTGCAGAAAGTTCCGGGCACGTCCAAGGAGCGCCTGCTGCAGGTTCAACAAGTCGCGAGGTGGAGCGTATGCAAGTTCCGATTCGGCCGGGAGAACCCGCTTCCGAGTTGTGTCAGGGATGAGGACGAACTGTGATCTCGTCATCTACGTGAACACAGCTGCAGCCATGAGGGACGGCGCGCGATTTTTCCAGAGCACCAATGGAGTCATTCTTACGCAGGGCTTCACAGGACAGCTCCCGCCGAGATACATCTCCGAAGTGCGTATCCTTGACGGTGGTCGGGATTACACGTTTTCCAATCTGGCTCTTCCTCCGCCAGAGCTTTCTGCTTGCTGCCAGCGCCAGAGGCGGCAGGCACCCACACAAGCCGCAACCCTGCGTTGGCTGAGGGCGGTGACATCGCGAAGTGACGATGACATGGTCGGGCACGTCAGCCGCAATGAGCACTCCGCGTTGATCTACCTTAGGTCTTGGAAGCCATGGGCGTTTGCTCCGCCATGCCTGCGCGAGAGAAAGTTGGTGCACAACTGATGCCGCGCTTCGGCACGACCACACGTGCGGAAGTCAGCCAATGCGAAGAAAACCACTCACCTTGCGCCTTGGCTTCTACGTCATGGACGGCAACCGTCCCTGCAGTTTCTGTGCTCTTCCTATGGACTCCAAGGGTCGGCGGGCCCTATCCTGAGGTGATGCCGTTGCTGTGCACCGCGCAGTCCGGGATGTCTTCGATGATTACTGTGCGCCCCGAGCTCGCCCAGGGGGGCGCGCGCAGTCCCTATGCATGCGTCCCAGTCAGACCCTCTTTGGACCTTTCTGTTTTCCACCAAGAACATCGGATTCGCCGTCGAGCCCCGCCCGAGCCCCGAATGAGCCCTCAACCCTAAACCTTAAACCCTAAACCATAAACCCTAAGCCATAAATCCTAAACCATAAGCCCTAAACTTTCAGGAGCTCAAGGAGGGGCTCAGGGTTTAAACAGCGCGGGCCCGAGGCCACGGAGTTCTCCAGCGAGGCCTGTGTTTGCACCTGCCAGGTTGCCGAACTCGTCGTTCCGGATTGGGGTTTGGGGTTTGGGGTTTCGGGTAGTTAGCCCTAAACCCCCACTTGTCGAGAGCCGAAAGCTAGGCAGCCCATATGGGCAAAGTTGGAGGTCTCCTTGGGGTTGGAGAGGGTGATTGGCTGTTTGTTCGGTTTTATCCTTGCTTGTGATGTCTACGCGCGCACTCTTTCTGAAAGCGCGTTGTTTCGTCGTTCTTGGTTGTCAGTTCCTTCATTCTTTCTCGTTCTGCTTGTTAGTTGGTCATGCGCAGTTTTGTGCTTGTAAAACGACATTGCGACTGTGACTCCACTGCTGCGACTATCACTACAGCCGCTCCTGCGAATCATTCTTCTTGTAGGCCCCCAGGCTCTAGATTACAAAAATGGGCATATTAGTTGCCCTACAGAGCCGGAACCCCAGTTGTCACCCATGAGCCTCCATGTAGACGCTTGGCTCAAAGATAGCGTCCGGGGTCTTCACTAACATTCGTCCATCATCCCTGACCCCTGAGCCCCCCTAAGCCCCCCTAAACCAGTCCTAGCCGCTAGCCCACCATTCTCGTAAAACCTATTACCGTATCTATGGTCCGTATGACCCTTGCAACCCTTCAACCCTATAACCTTATAACCCTTTAACCCTGTAAGCCTACAACCGCGTAGCCCTAGAACCCTATAACCCTAGAACCCTCTAGCTCCAACCCAAGTTTGATGGCATGGACTTGGGCATTTGCCTATCAGGGCACCCGTGTGGCCCTCAGAAGGGCTCATTGGGTCAGGTTTCTCTCCGAAATTCTCAAAAAGCCACGGAAACCCCACCCTAAACCCTTGACCCTACCTCCCAAACCCCAATCCTCCCTCAGACTTCCCCGAAAACCCGAAACCCAGACCCTGCCTTTCATTTAAACCCATGTCATCCCAGCAAGCCGCCCACCTAGCCTTTACGAACACGAAGTGCCATGTAGTACGTCACATCCGTGAGAACCGAGAGTTTTGTGCCTTGAAATGCACGTGGCTTCGTGTTCTGGAACTCTATTC